TTGGTTCTGGTCCAATGAATCTTCACACCATTAAAGCTGGAAGTGCCTCTCCTAAATGGGAGGGAGGTATGCAGCTATCACAGCTAAATAATTCTGCAAATGTTTCTAGTATGGCCACCCATTATAATGGGTCCTTATATTCATCAAATAATTTGAAGGGCCCCATACAGTCAGCTTCTCTTGGTTCTCTATCTTCTGGCCCAGGAAGGAGTGCCTCCGTGAAGAAAATACCAATTTCAAAGTCTGATCAGGATTTGGCTTCTCTTAGGTCTCCACAGTCAGTTGAGTATGGCTCTTGTACTTCAATGGATGAAGATCAGCTGAGATTTCTGAATGATACTTCAAAGGGTGCACTATATGGGAATAGATCATCCCTAATATTATCTCCAACTCGGTCCACTGGCCCCCGAATCTCTGGGCCAGGTGTGAGACCCAATGGGCCTATAACTGGATCTTTCAGAGTTGTCGGATTAAATTCATTTGCAACAACTCCCGGATGTAAGATGCGTTATTTGTGATGCCTTTATTAAGTGGGATAGATGCATTATACTTATTAATTTAGTACTATTTATACTTTTTACTTAGTCTTACATTGATAGAAAAAAATCTTTTTTTTTTTTTTGGTCGTTCCAGCCCAGGCACCAGACTATGGAGTATGTCATAGTCCTAATCAAGATGTTTCAAATAGAAAACCTCGCAAACGTACACTTTCAGATATGTTGAATTTAATTCCATCACTTCAATGTGTGGAAGCCAATTCAGGATTTTGTAGGAGGAGGAAGATTTCTGAAGTAGCTCGACCTCAGCAGTCTTCGTCACAGATGCTTATGCCAAGGGATATAATTTCAAAATCCGAAGTATACAGTTATGGGGATCTTATATCTGAAGCTAATAAGGGAAATGCACCTGCAAGCATTTATGTTTCAGCTCTTCTTCATGTGGTCAGGCACTGCTCACTTGGTATTAAGCATGCCAGACTAACCAGCCAGATGGGGGCTCTGGACATCCCTTATGTTGAAGAAGTGGGTCTAAGAAGTATATCTTCCAACATATGGTTCCGACTTCCATTTGCCAGAGGTGATTCATGGCAACATTTATGCTTGCGACTTGGCAGGCCTGGAAGCATATATTGGGATGTCAAAATAAATGACCAACACTTCAGAGATTTGTGGGAGCTTCAGAAAGGAAGCAATAGTACACCTTGGGGTTCTGGTGTTCGAATTGCGAATACATCGGACATAGACTCTCATATTCGTTATGATCCGGAAGGTGTTGTTCTCAGTTATCAGTCTGTGGAGGCTGATAGTATTAAGAAGTTAGTGGCAGACATTCAAAGACTTTCTAATGCAAGAATGTTCGCCCTTGGTATGCGGAAATTGCTTGGAGTAAGAGCAGATGAGAAGCCAGAAGAAAGTAATACACACTCTGATTTTAAAGCACCTGGAGTGAAAGGTTCTTTTGAGGCAGCTGATAGACTATCTGAACAAATGAGAAGGGCATTTAGAATTGAGGCAGTTGGACTTATGAGTCTGTGGTTCAGTTTTGGATCAGGTGTCCTAGCTCGCTTTGTTGTCGAGTGGGAATCAGGCAAAGAAGGTTGTACTATGCATGTATCTCCTGACCAACTTTGGCCGCATACCAAGGTACATTCACATTTTTCTAATTGTTTTGTTATTTCTTTTAGCAATTTTAATGATTGATATTTAGTGTAACCTCATGTTTATTAATCTTAAGTTTAGTTTATGTGAAATTTGAGTCCTGAATTCCTCCTCTGCACTTGTTCTCTCCAGTTGTTGTGCCTGACCCTGCCATATTTTATGAAATTAATAGAAGCCCTTTTTCTGAAGATTTCAAAATATAATTTTCAAATTTTTTTTTCTGGTGTTGCCATGCAAAAGTTCCGAGAAATTGGATTAGAATTTTGCGCAGTGCCTTTCAAAGCTTTTCATAACAGTAGAAAAAGTATAAAAGACAGAAATGTGTAATTATATTGAAGTTGCTTTACCAAGGATGACGTCAAATTGTATGACCAAATTCTTTTCAATTTAGATTTTGACAGATGCATTTGGGCAACATAGATTTATTATGTCTTTGGTTTGTATATCATGGGTTTAACTTTATACTTTTCCCCCAATTTGTTTCTGTTTATAAAGATCTGCATTCATGAAGATAGCCTTTTCTGTTCTCTACAGTTTCTGGAAGATTTCATAAATGGAGCTGAAGTTGCATCACTTTTGGACTGCATTCGCCTCACTGCAGGTCCCTTACATGCTCTTGCAGCTGCAACACGACCTGCAAGAGCTAGTCCTATTCCAGGGGTTCCTGGAGTAGGCCCTGGAGGAGCAGTTCTCTCTTCAATTCCGAAACTGGGGGGGCAGTCACCATCCCAGGGTCTAATGCCAACTAGTTCAACCACAAATGCCAGTCAGTCTCCTTCTGGCCCTATGGGTAACCCTGTTTCATCTACTGCTACAGGGCCTCTTGCAAATCATAGCCTCCATGGGCCTGCAGTGTTAGCTGCTGCTGGCCGAGGTGGACCTGGCATTGTACCCAGCTCACTGTTGCCCATCGATGTTTCTGTTGTGCTACGTGGCCCCTACTGGATACGAATTATATATCGGAAGCACTTTGCAGTTGACATGCGCTGTTTTGCAGGAGATCAGGTTTGGTTGCAACCAGCAACACCACCCAAGGGGGGTCCTTCAGTTGGAGGGTCATTACCTTGCCCACAGTTTAGGCCATTTATTATGGAGCATGTGGCTCAAGAATTGAACGGTTTAGATACTAATTTCACTGCTGGTCAACAGACAGGACTGGCAAGTTCAATCAATCAAAACCCAACTTCAGGTTCCCAACTGTCTGCTGTAAATGGAAATAGGGTTAACCTCCCTGGTTCTGCGGCAATGTCTAGGACAGGCAACCAAGTTGCTGTTTTAAACCGTGTTGGAAATGCTTCTCCGGTGTCCTCAAATTTGGCTGTTGTGAGCTCAGGGATGCCTTTACGTAGATCCCCCGGTCCGGGTGTCCCTGCTCATGTGAGAGGAGAACTGAATACAGCCATTATTGGTCTTGGAGATGATGGGGGGTATGGAGGTGGTTGGGTTCCTCTCGTTGCACTTAAAAAGGTGCTAAGAGGTATTCTCAAGTACCTTGGGGTTCTATGGCTATTTGCCCAGCTACCGGATCTTTTGAAAGAGATTTTGGGGTCAATTTTGAAAGACAATGAAGGTGCACTTCTAAATTTGGACCAGGAGCAGCCTGCCTTGCGTTTCTTTGTTGGGTAAGTGCTTTTTAACCCAATCATTATTTGTTTCTTTGATGATGACTTATGCTCATTTTTATCTTATGATGAAAAAGAAAATCAATATAAAAGATGCTTAAAAAAAAAGAAAAATAAATAAACATCCAGACGAGATGGAAATGCAAATTGTTTATGTTTATTAAAACCCTCCCTATTTTATGTTCACTACCTGTACCAGATTATTTTCAGTTAATTATGTGGCCCTCAGAGAGTTTATCTGATTGCTTGTGTTTCTGCAGTGGGTATGTATTTGCAGTAAGTGTTCACAGAGTTCAACTCCTTCTTCAAGTACTGAGTGTGAAACGATTCCATCATCAGCAGCAGCAACAGCAACAGCAACAGCAGCCAAATTCAACTACTGCTCAAGAGGAATTATCCCCATCTGAAATAGGAGAAATATGTGACTACTTCAGTCGGCGCGTTGCGTCAGAGCCTTATGATGCTTCTCGTGTGGCGTCATTCATCACTCTTCTCACCTTACCCATATCAGTTCTACGAGAATTCTTGAAATTAATAGCATGGAAAAAAGGACTCGCCCAGGCCCAAGGGGGAGATGGAGCACCTGCTCAAAAACCCCGTATTGAATTATGCCTTGAAAATCATGCTGGCTCGAGTATGGATGACAACTCAGATAATTCATCTGTTGCCAAAAGTAATATCCATTATGATCGGCCTCATAACTCTGTTGATTTTGCACTGACTCTTGTTCTTGATCCTGCTCACATACCTCACATAAATGCTGCTGGTGGTGCAGCATGGTTGCCATACTGTGTCTCAGTGAGGTTGAGATATGCATTTGGTGAAAATCCTAACGTGTCCTTTCTTGGCATGGAAGGAAGCCATGGAGGTCGAGCTTGCTGGTTGCGCATTGATGATTGGGAAAAATGTAAACTTAAGGTTGCTCGAACTGTGGAACTTAATGGTAGTTCCGGAGGAGACAGCAGTCAAGGAAGATTAAGAATTGTTGCTGACTACGTGCAAAGAACACTACATATGTGGCTTCAAGGGTTGAGGGACGGTGGTGGGGTTAGTGCAAGCTCGGGGGCGACATGATTGATTTGGTCACTCAGATATTTTTTAGTAAAATTTCATTTGAGATTAATCTCAATGAGTTTACGCGGATTGATCATGGCTTGTGTTCCATTCCATTTTTTTGGGATCTCCCAATTAGTTGCGGGAGAAACTTGTATCAGGGAGGAGAGCAAATCTGGCCACGGGATGTGTGTTGAGACGATGCTTAAATGGTGATTGCAGAGTTGACGGGGAGATGGCTGCCTTTAGGAATGCACTTGCAGAACTAACAGAGAGATCGATGGTGTAAGGAGGGGGCCTTTTATATATATTTTATATTTGGATCTTCTGATACTAGGGTGTACAATATTTTGGATATTTTCTGCTAATTTGAAGATAAGGGGTATTGTTGTTGTACAGATCAGGCTTAATTGGACATACCATGTAAAAATTTTGTTTCCGCTGGAGTAGAGCTCAGTTCTCAACTGTCCAAGGATATGAAAACTCTTCACTACTGCTGTATTCTTTTAGAACTTTTTTTACAGTTACTGTAGTAAATTACACTATACGAATGGGATGATATAATAAAAAGGCAGAATCTTAATGCCCCCTCTGAAGGACAACTCTCCAGAAAAGAACGTAGAGAATAGGCAGAAGAATATGTAAGATTCAACAAATGATAGCACATAAAGAGTGATATTTACATAACTAGAAATATGCAATGCAATCTCTACATCAACATAAAAAATAAGGCTCCTCAAAGTCTAAAATCAACATGGTTCCAGCACATTGTCAAGAGATCAGCGTCCAACTTCATTTCACTTTTCAGACAGTGCAAAACAAGAAAGATGTCAACCCATCTTGGATGCCGTTTATCTGCAACAACAAAGTCATGGATAACTCCATCAACAATTACGCTACTGCAACCTGCGGTCTTCTTCACTCCCCTGATTTCCATTATTTCTCTAATCTTATCTGAGTAGCTCCACCTCCCACAAGCAGCATACATATTAGACATCAAAATGTATCCTCCCTCTTTCTCAGGCTCTAACTTGAGTAGCTCTGCTGAAGCTATTTCAGCTTGTTCCATGTCTCCATGAGCTCTACAAGCACTCAGCATTGCTCCCCAGATGTTTCGACTTGGCTTCATTGGCATCTTTTCAATCACATCTTTTGCCTCTACCAATCTCCCTGATCGACATAAAAGATCCACCAGACACCCATAGTGCTCAACTCCTGGTTCGATATCAAAATTATTCTTCATATTGTTGAATATATTTAGCCCTTCATCCACAAGTCCACTATGACTACAAGCTGTAAGAACGGCAACAAGAGTCACCCCATTTGGCAATAAAACTCTTTGCATCTCAGAAAACAGATCCAGAGATTTGTTTCCGTAACCATGGAATCCAAATCCAGTGATCATTGTCGTCCATATGGTAACATCTTTTTCTGTCAGTCCCCCGAAGACCATGAAGGCTCTTTCAATACTTCCAGCCTTGCAGTACATGTCTATTAATGCTGAACCCAAAAATACATCTATTTTCAACTTCATCCTCACAATCAAGCCATGAATCTGTTTTCCTTGGTCTAGTGCTCCAATTTCCGCTGCAGCAGAGACCAAATTAACCAGAGTGATATTGTCAGGCCTCACATTCACCCTAATCATGTTGTTGAATACCTTCACTGCCATCGTGTAATCACCCTTCTTGGCATAACCAGCAATTAATGAATTCCAAGAAACAAGATCTCTTCTAGGCATTTGCTTGAAATAAGTGAGGGCAAGTTCTAATTTGCCAACCTTGGCATATCCTGCAGTCATGGTGTTCCATGACACGATATCCTTATCCACTAAAGCATTAAATATACTTCGAGCAAGCTCCAATTTATTCCATTTCACATACATGTCTAAAAGAGCATTACCCAAGATCAAATTTGAAGAAGTGATGGCTTTCCTCCTCTCAATCCATGCATGAACAGACATTCCCAGTCGGGAATCTCCTAATAGTCCACAAGATATAAGAAGTCCTAAAATGGTAAACTCGTCAGGTTTAAGACCCAAACCCACCATTTCATAGAACAGTTGAAGAGCTTCTGAACAATATCCCATCTTGGCATAACCAACAATCATGATATTGAATAAGACTGGATCTGGTGTTGGCACATCACGGAAAACCTGGCAAGCAAGCCCCATTTGTCCTTTTTCCAGATATATCTTGGTGAGGGTGTTCTGCAGGTATCCATGTGACAACAAACCTGTAACAACGGCATGGCTGTGGAGCTGCTTTGCCTCTGATATGCATGTGGACGCTTGGAGTAAGTAAAGAAGGGTGTGTTTATCTGGGCATATACCAGAGTGGAGCATGGAATTGTATAGGGCAAATGGTTGGCTTTTAGAGAAAGATAAAGCATAAATCATAGAATTATAAATGTAAAGATTGGGATTAGGAGTATAGTGATTGAAAAGAAGGATAGCCATGTCTAAATTATCAGGATGTGAGATGGCTGAGAATGTGAGAAGCCTGCTCATGGGAAATGTCTGACCAATTAGACAGGTCCTCATCATCTGCCCCAAAATCTGTTTGAAATGGTACCTTGTCCTGCATTTTTCGAGCAATATAAGAGTTGGGTGATTGAGTTCGAGGGCAACAGTTGGATCCCAGTGGATTCTCCCGCTTGTTGAAGTTGAACTCGAGAGGCGGATGCCTCGACAATATTGGTACATAGAGAAATACAGCAACTACTCAAATACTCACTGTCTGTGAACAACTATCACACAGAATTTCAGGAATGATAACCTTCTGTTTAATATTCAACAGAATCAAACTAAATATCCAATCAAAATTTTTTCTTATGGATATTAATTGCTTTCTATCGATAAGGAAAAACACATGCATCTTAAAATGAATAGTTAAAGTAAGAAAAATCATTCCTAAACCACATTTAGCTATTACCATGATGATAGCATTAATAAGCACTTTTTTCTTGAGAAACCAGATCATTTCATGATCCGAATGGCCAGCAATAATGCAGTTCCTAGAGTCATCAAGCCCAAGAAGAATAATTATATCTTAAATCCAACACCACACCCTCACTTATAGGTGTTACATCATTGCTAACCTAGAAAAAGAAAGTCGTACTGGTATATGTGTTGGAACATCACCCAGCCAGAAGGGACTGTATGAGTGCATTGGCTGCAAATCTTCTCCAGGCACCAGAATCCTTGTTGCTTGCGTTGGAACTAGTTACCATTCCCATTCCTATGGCCATAATCCTAGCATATTCCAAAACAAACAATCAAATACACATAATCCCTAATCCCCACCACCCACCCCCCAAAGAAAAGAAAAAAATTTAATCTTTAGTCAAATTTTCTTATTTTTCCGCTAGTAAATCGTTTCCATCAGTTTTCAGGCTTAAATTTCACCAAGGTTTATGAGATTTTAAAAAGTCATTTCTAGTACTAAAAGTTTTATTTTTCTCTAGTTTTCGGGGCAGAAGTTCCATTTCAAGTCCACAACTGACAATCCTACACCTTCCATAACTTCAACGAGCATACAATAACCATAATTTTCAGATATAAAATAAAAAGAATCATAATTTTCTAACTCAAGTGTTCAGAAACTAAAACAAATCAAAGCTCAAACCTAAGACTCGCAAATACAAAGAATTTGGTCAATTGAAGGAACACTTACCAATCATGGCTGAAACTTTTGAAACCCTAGACGATTAACACTAACTGTTTTGATCAATATCAGAGAGCCTTAAATTTCCTTACAGGTAAATGGGCCAGGGGGTCCAAATATGGTCAAAGCCCAAATTGGTTTTGTTAGGGAAACTCCAACTTTGCCGCCCAATCAATGTAGGACTAGATTGTGGGATCTTGCCCAACAAATAAAAAAAGAAAAATAACATTTTTATTATTTATTTCTCTCTCAAGTTTCACCTTTTGGTCTTATGTTTAGAGTGAACCAAATTGAGCCAATGAGAGTTGGTTGAGTTGGTAAGACTCTCAAGTTTCACCTTTTGGTCTTATGTTTGGATTTGAGTACTTTTTAAATTGGTAAGGACTGGATTTGTGCATGAATGAAATTTTGTGTTGATTTGTCAATCGAGAAGCCAACACTTAAGAACATGAACAAGCAAGGTGAGCAAGATTGCTTCAGTTTTAACATCACAATAACTGAAGGGGTCCTTTGTAGCAGTGTTTATTTAAATGGTGTACATATTGATGATGGTTGTCATGTCGACAGTTGAGACTAGTGTAACACCCCATGATACAACAGGTGGAATGCTAACCAAGATATCTGAAGCCGATTGTGAAACTCGGAATCGATGTATAAATTGTAAATAGTTGAGGGCCTTGAGTGGAGAATTGAAAGGCAACCTTCCTCATAACGGGCTTGAAACCGCAATCCGGTTTTGCAATAAATGAATTACGATTGCTCTAACAGAGGAGGGAGAGAGAGAGAAGGAGACGGGGAGCAATAAAACGGAAATAGAAAAGTTTTCACCGAGCTAACAGAGGGGTCGAAAGTATGCATTTCCGAGAAAGGTTTTTTAAGTTTTAGACATAAAAAAAATTTCACTTTTGGAAAAAGCAAAAGTTTTTTCAAAAAAGACAAAAAAATCACTCAACTTTCAAATCAAAGACATGCAAATGTATTGGATTCCTTAGGAAATCTAAAAATAAATAAGGGCATTTTTGTCCATTTTTGCTTCTTTTAAAATTTTTCTCTCTCCTTTTGCTTTTTCCAAAATGTCCCGAAGGATAACACCAATAAAGGCATTTGGAGATGATGCTCAACCCAACAACATCAGAAAACTGATTGTTAGACGTTAGAATAAAATTTTCAGATTCTATGACAGGCGGTTGAAACTCATTGTTTGTGTATGTACGGATAGAAAATACATTTGTATTATTATTAACATATGGTTAATATGTTCTTTTTGGTATTTTATATTAGGGTAAATTAGTAATTCAATAAATAGTTTAGTAGTAGGGTGCGCTCAGTTAATTTTAGGGTTCATTTAGCAACACTAAAAAATAAATAAAAAGTGAACCAAATTGAGAGAAAATGTGACCATCTTTTTGATAAAAGATGTCATTTTCTACTCTTTCCGCCCAATAAACTCTCTCTTCGATAATGATTCAGCGAATTTGAAAAAAATGACTCACCTCACTTTTAAAGAAAATAACAAACTCAATTATATATATATATATATATATATATATACAGATATATTTTTCTTAGAACCAGAAGCGTCCAACAAAACTTTATAAGACAAACAACCATTTTCTACTTTCAACTTGCATTAAAATTTTCTCAAAATACATCATACACACACCCCTCCATCCCTTTTAGATGGTCCCATATCCCATTATCCACATAAGGAAATTGAAAGAGCTCCCACCACCAACATTTTTGGTCACACTCAACTAACCCCACCATTGATATTACAAGAGGAAAACATCAAATTGGCTTTTGAAAATTCTTCCCTAGACTTCCTATGCCAAATACATCAAGTGCCTCACAATTCTACCTAGGCATGACAATCAGTCCCTTGTTTGACAAAACTCAACGAAAAAGAGTGAACAGTTGCAGCGACTTGATTGTCACTTCTAATGAGTTATAAAATTGACCAGACTACAAAATACCCACTGTCATGACTCTCGAGTAAAATTAGGTTGGGGTCCCAGAAGCGTGCTCGGAGTCGTTGATGGGCATGTGCTATTGCATATTTTGTTGGAACCTATGAAGAGGAGTTTGATTCTGGCTTGACCAGTGTCGTTGCGTCCGGTTGATGTGTCCGGAAGATCGCAGGGGCAAGTGATATTGGCATGATGCAGAGTGCTTTGGACTGAAGGAATTGCATGGCAGCTCCTACATCCTCCTCCATCAGCTTAGCTACTTGTTGCTCTGTTCCATCATTAGACCACTTCTCCCATGCTTGTTGATTGGTTCCTCCTTCAATGCCCTCTCCCTTCATTCCAAAAGTATCCAAGGTTGGTGGATAGTAACAAGAAACAGAAAATAGTCAAAATACTGTTAGACAGAAAGGGGAAGATTTAGTACATAGACTACTCTCATTTTTATCAGAATGGTTTTTACTTAAGGATTTCGGTAGGTTTTAAACTGTTCATCAAGCTTAATAATGATCTAAAGGAAACCTATCTCTATGATCCTAGCTTACTAATGACTATAATTATGTATATTGTCCTGGCATTATATATGTACATTTTTATAGGTTAAATGCCTGGATGAATATCATATATAGTACAGTTGATACATGTAAAAAATAAGCTACGTGCATAATTAAGTTGATCAATCCAAAAAATGCGCAGAGAAAAAATAAGATCAAGTAACAACAGGTTTGGGCTTGACTACCTCGACTGCTGATAGGGGTACATCAGCAACAAGCTGAGCCACTGCACCTGCTCCCCCAAGTCTACTCATGCTCAGTACCTGTTTCAGCATAAAGAAAATCAAATCGATTACCAAGAAAATAAATAAATAAACTACAAAAATTGAAGAAAGTTTTGTGTCCTTTGCTATTTGATTATGACTTCATTGAATTCTAGAGGTTCCAACCAGACAAAGTCATTTCAGGTTTGACAAAATAACTATTTCATATAAAGAAAGTCTCAATGCCTTTAATGATGCCTGGGCTATGCATCATGACTGGGACCTACATTGTGGTGAAGACTTTGGAAATTGGAAGACATTGGAATTTGGTACAAGTTTTTGAAACAATGATGAATTCAATAAAGACTTTTAAGCATTTGTGCAGAAAAAGGGTTTTTTATGAAGAAACATTTGATAAAGCATCCGAAAAAACTAAGAATTCTTTCAAAACTTTTAAGCTTACTTTGATTAGGAAATGCTAATAAACGATGCAGGAATTACAATAAATCATTTTGAGATATCCTGAATCTATACGAATTTTGGATAAATACCTTCACTTGGAGCCTTAGAAATTTCACGTAGTCCACAATTTCGTCAAGCATAGCTGCCCTATCTGTCTGCATAAAGATCACATAACGCGTCACTACATGTAAAATTTATATTTCAAAGGATAGGCATTTTCCATCATCATAATTGCATACTACAATATTTGAAATGATGAAACAAAAAAAATGCAATTCATCCTGGAGAAGGTATTAAATCTGTGCTGTAAGGCACTAACCTTGTTACAACTGGGTACCAATTCCTGCAAAGCCTTCATTCTTTCTGCAATTCTTTCCCGGCGTAACTGCACCAAGAAGATATATACATATATGCATATAACATATGTTAGACATATGATTATCTATAGAATAAATAAACAGGCATAGGATATAGGAGTGTGGTATAATATCAAAGTCCTGATAATGGATGCCATGATGAAGTCTAAAGTGTTACCAGAGAAGCAGTTTGGTTATTACAAAACTAGTATAGCCCTCAATGCTAATTAGGGATAGGCATCTACTTTTATTAAAGAGCATCTATGTTCACTGTAAGAAGAATATATGCATATGAGAACATATCATCCATGTTATGATCCCACATGAGATATCAAGATTCTTTGCCATGAGAAAAGGTTGACTAGCAAATGCGTTTGTATCTACTTTATTATTTCCATATTGCAACCTATACCTCAGAGAAAAAGGAGTACACCATAGGAAACCACCATCAGAAACCTAGCCTTGAAGTTTTAGCAAGTAATTGTTGCTTACAAATAACAGACTCTACTTTATTAGTCTCAAAATAATTGCACACGCCAAAAGTTGTGACATTTTAATTCAAAATGTATGCAGGAGTGTCATCTTGAATTATCTTACTAGTCAAAGTTAAACAGAAGCAATTTGGATGTCTTCAATGAGAATGAACTAACCGCTAACTTTCAAAAAAAAGGAAAAGAAGATTTTAGCTTTCTCTTAAATATAAAAAATCTAGTTTACCCGCTCAGCAATACTGTGGGGATCTGTTGCTTGGCCACGTCTTGCTCGGACCCTTGGGCGGATGGCAGGAGGGTGATGGACAGCAGCAACTGGGCCTGGTGATGGTTGGCTATGAAACTGCGGCAACAAGATTAACAAATTATGACAATCCATACATCATAAGTGAAGATGAAAATCCAATAGCAAACATGTATTAGGTTCGAACTAAGGCATATATGTAATCATTCGATAATTGGAAGGTTTGAATTAAATACATTACTATGTTGGGGTCAAAGTCAGTACAGATATGTCAAAATTTAGCAGGACAATCAAAAGTTTTTTTATATAATGATGAGCTCTTAATCAGTAAAGATTGATTTCTCATTAAATCATATGTTGTCTAAATTTGAGGAAATTATGGCTGTAAAATAAGGTAAGTGAAAGCACAGCATAAGATACTATATTTCAGCTCTCGATAAAATTTTTGAATTTGGATTTCCATCAGATTAATCCTGACAGTCCATGGTGGAACACCATCTCCCAAGTCATTTCACATCTTTATCCAATTTTCCATTCAATACTCCATCAAATGCTTTACGAGGAAGAGATAAACAACAAAACATTGACGGAACTAAGAGCATCTCCAACCGATGTGTCAAACGTGCCACATAGACATTTAACAGCTAAAAGTAACATCTCACATCACTCCAACCGATATGTCAAAGCTGATGGAGAATGAAGGCCGGAGGTTGAGATGTTATTTTTGACATCCCAAAAGCAAGATGTCAAATGAATATTTTATTATTTTTTCTTTTC